TTGGCATCCTGAATGCCAAAAAATACATCGAAACTGTCTTGAAACCAAAATTGATACCTTCCATCAGGGATCTCTTCCCCAACAACGCACCATTTATTTTTCAGCAAGATTCAGCTCCATGCCACACAGCAAAATTATGTAAAGCATGCTTTCAAAATAAAGGCATGGATATATTACCATGGCCAGGAAACAGCCCTGATCTCAATCCAATTGAAAATTTGTGGCGACGTTTGAAAATTCTTGTACGAAAAAAACGTCCATCCAATGAAAGACAATTAAGTGTAGCTATAATTGATTATTGGCACCATGTGATTACGAAAGATGAACTCCAAACACTCGTTCAGTAGATGAAAAGACGCAGTGAAGCTGTCTTAAAAAATAAGGGTTATCCTACTAAGTATTGATTGTGTAAGTATCACTTTAAAAAAAATGCAAATCTAAGATAGATCTTACTAATAGTTGTATAACTTTTTTTGTAATACAGATGTTGTAATGCTGTATTTATTATTAAATTCTACATTAAATTACCTTCAATTTGATATATAAACGTTTGTATTTAAGCGAAAATTAATATATTTTACAAGCACACAAAGTTGAAAAACATGAAACTTTCAAAAAGTGTCCACACTTTTGGCCACCACTGTATATATATATATATATATTGTAAAAAATCATTCTATCAAAAAAAATTCTAGTCATGTTATTCATGAAAAATGACTGCATTGAGATTGATTTGAACCCATTTATTTTTTTTAATTAACAAATCTTAGTTTTTCTAAAATACTATTTAATGTTTTAATATTACAATTGTGGAATAATAAGTGCTATTTTTTATGAACGATTTTTCTCGGTCATGCAAAAACTATTGTATGTTAGTGTTACAGATAATTAGAATGGAAAAGTTACAAAAATGGATAGAAGTTTTTCTAAAATACTATTTTTTTAATGTTTTCATATTACAAAATTATTGTGGATTAACAAAGGTTATTTTTCATAAAAGATTTTTCTTGTGGGTCATGCAAAAACTATTGTATGTAAGTGTTACGGATAACTAGAATGGAAACGTTACAAAAATGGATCATTTAATTTCAGCCCATTTTTCTTGAATTTTAACAGTCATTATATGTGTATTATATTTTATAAAGTTTAAAGTCTGTACAATTTTTGTTGTTATTTTAAAAATTAAATAATAAATGAAGCAAGGGTGTTAACATGTATAGCAAAAAAAAAAAAAAAGATTTGAGAAAGTGAGTGGTGATTTGTAACTCACACTAATGCAAATTAGGGATGTAAAGAATATTTGACCAAATATTCGGCGAAGTATAATTTGGAAAATTACTTTTCAACGAAGTTTTATTGGAGGAAACTTTAATAGATTTAATAAAGAATAATCTAAAATCGTATTTTTTATCATACATTATTAGAAATAGTTTTTACACATATTTGTTAAGTTTTAAAACTTGTTGATTTATGTTCTGAAAAATACATGGAAAAGTGAAATTTGAAGAGTTAAAACTAAATTTTTTTATACTGAACCATGAGTATTTAATGTTGATTTTTTTCAATTGTATTCAGACAAGCTAATTTCATCGTTTTTTCAAGACTTTATATTTTAAAATTTGGGAGCTTATTTTTGTTTTTGTGTGTTACCTAAAGTGGAGCATGTTTATGGAGCGTTTCTAATTGACATTATTGTTTTATTGTCACTTTTTTTTTCTTGTATGGTACAACAGATAACTAGTAACATGGAATACTGTGGTTCTCAACATTAAAGTAATATTTTAGAACGAAGAACAGTTTTTTTTTTCCTTCTCTCTTTTGATTTTTTTAAACTTTTCTTTTTATTGGTATTTTTATTGTGATAGCATTTTTTAAAGAGCACTTCTAATTAACATTATTCTTTTATGGTCATTTTTTTTCTAAGAATATGGCAGTGTGAAAAAGTTAAATTAAGACTTTTATCATTAAATCTATTGTTTAAAAATTTAAGAACAATTTCTGTTTTGGTTTATTTTAGCTTAGAATATCAGAAAAATTGGTATTAATTGAAAGTTGGTTATTTGAATCAAATGATCGGACTGGGACAAAACTGTCAAGTTAAACTATTTATTGCCTTGGTTGAACCACTTATGATCAATGTGAAATCAATTGTTATGATGCATTTATTTTCTGAGGCAAACTTCTACATTTCTGACTTTTTGAATCTGGATATAACTTGAAATGCTAATTTACAAGAATGGACAAATCTCAAATGCGTGTTTGCAAAAATGTGTAAAACTCAAAATGCCTGTTTATTTGTTTACTAATATGGACAAAGCTCAAAACACGTTTTTGCAAAAATGGATATAGCTCAGAATACGTATTTACAAAAATGACATAGCATTTTATTCCATATTTTTTATTCCTTAAAGAATAAACTAATGATTCCAAATTAGTTCGTAATGTGATATCATTCATTCACATCAATCACTTGGTACATTTTGTTAAATTAGTCTTTTTTTTTTCTTTAAAAAAAAGTAAATAGTTGGTTGCCACTGCCATTAATTTCTAATAGTGATTGTAAGTTTGTGTTGCAAGAATTTAGAGTATTCAAACTCACTTTATCGGTTTTAATTCTGAATACAAAGACATCACCTGAAAATTTACATCTCTAATATATTTAACCACCCAGAACCTGAAATCTGGACACTGTTCTAATGATTATGCTTAGTGTCTGGATAAATAAGGAAAAATCATGCATTTTCCAGTATAGCTAATAAATTTAGGTTGAAAACTGAAAAGGCTCTTTTTTTTTTCAGTGTCCATTTTTGTAAACATGCATTTTAAGCTAAGTCCATATTTAAAAACTCACTGATATTCTGTTTTTGTTAAAGAACATTGAATGATATTCAATGTAATGTTTTACATGCATTAATTTTAACTCTTATCTATGTTTGTTTTCTCAGATGATGCGGAATCTTTTATTAGAGGAAGGAGGCATATTGCACATTGAAAATGCCACTTTACCTGTTGCCACTTATTCAAAGTTTCAGCCGCAAACAGAAGATTTTTTGGATATCACAAATCCCAAAGCTGTGTATCCTTTTGAAGTTGATATGCATATATATAGAAATTAATTTAATTTATCTTTAAGGTTTTTACGCTTTTGAAAATTAATGCGTGAAATTGAAATCCATGTATCATTTAATGTACATTGTGCCACTTTACTTTACTCAAAAATCTAATTTCAAAATTTTTGTATTCTATCGTGCAATAGACAAATCAATGTAGGGGATGAAAAATTCGAAATTAAGGTTTTATGTATTAGACATTTTTTTATGATAAGCTACTTAATGCAGGGATCTGTCTAGGTTTTTCTGAAAGGTACCTATTTTGTGAAAAATTTAGACTTAATTTGTGAAAATTAAAAATTAATATTAAAAAATCAGCACAAGAATATGAATTAAATGTTTCTTACAAGATAAAAAAAAATTTTTTTTTTAAAGAAAATTTATTTTGTGAAACTACCGTTTTTTCTAAAGTTGAATTTGTAAAGGTACCGCTAAACAGTAGTAAATTTTGCTAGGACAGACCTCTGTATCGCCTAAAAGAAATTTAAATAACATTTGTTTCTTCAGTTTTATTAACCACTTCTCTCAAAACCTAGCGTGAAGCCCTTTTTTTTAAATTCAATTATAAGGCAGTATTGATATGCAACAGCATGGAAAAATTTGTCTGCTGAACATGCAGTAAAATATTTGCTTTAAAATGTTGCACTTGCTGAGTATGCTAATTTTAAAAAGCAAGAACGTCTAATACTACTGTTCATGATAAGCTAACTGCATAACTAAAAAAAATGACTTAATTTAATGAATTTAAACCTGAATCATGTCGATAAAGACTCAATTTATGAATTTAAGAAAAAGCTGTTAATCCTATTTAAGTTTAACTTACATACATAGATATAGAAATTAATTTAATGTTAATTTATCTATAGGGTTTTCATGCTTTTGAAAAGTAATGCCTGAAATTGAAAATATTGAAATCCAATATTTTAAATTACTTGCTTTTAGGTATCTAAATCCATGTATCTAATATAATTTACGCTACTTGATAAAATACACTATATACTATGCATGAAATACACTTGCAAGAATTTTTATATTCTGCTCTGCAAACAAATCAATGCAGTGGAAATGAATTTAAAATTAAGATTTTATATGTTTGACATTTTTCTATGATAAGCTACTTATTTCTGCAACAACAAAAAAAAATCAAAAATTTTTGTGTTGTTAGCCAATTTTTCTCTAAACCTATCGTGAAGCTCTTTGTTTCTTCTATTGCAAGATAGTATGGGTCTGCAACAGCATGGAAAAATTCTCAAATTTACCTGCTTAGCATGCAGTAAAATATTTGCTTTAAAATGTTGCAATTGGTAAATAAAAAGTACTGAAAATTAACTAATTTAAACTTAGTCATAAAGATGAAAACTCAACTTTTGAATTAAAAAAAACAAGCTATTAATCCTATTTAAGTTAAACTTAATTTAATCTGCAGATTTTTGTTTTTATATTTGTTTTATTTTTGTCTGCAAGGTCAAAATAAAACTGCATCACTCAGTGTGTGTGCTTGTTCTGCTGCCAGACTCACTGTCATAACCGTGTATTTGAAAACCTTCTTACTAGGTAAAACTGTAGATTATAGTACATTACGCAACTTAACTTTTAATTCATTATAATAATATTTCGAAACCTTGAAGAATAGTTTATATTTATCTATGACATTTTTTGTTTCTTGTTAATCAATAAATCATTTGATTCAGAAAAAAAACGTTTTCTTTTAAACTATGTGTATTGCACATCTTTAACCTAAATTTTTAGCTTGGAAAATGCTCTAAGAAATTTTGCTTGCCTTACTACTTCTGATCTCATTGCCATTGATTACAATGATAAAGTGAGTAAAAGATAGTCCTTTGGAAAACTAAGTTTCAAAATTTTTTATCTTTTATTTGTTGGTAAAATTCTAATTATATTTCTCACTTAATTAAAAGTTTCATTGCACATTTTGTGTTTTAAGTTGATGTTAGTAGTGCGAAATATATATATATTGCTCATGGGCTTCAATAGTGGCACAACTCAAATGAATGTGTATTTTCCTATTTACGCCTGTTCTTAGTCCGAAACTCGTGTTTTTTTAGTTGTGCCACTATTGTAGCCGATGAGCGATATATTATTCGTTTTTTTTATTTTATTATTATTGTTTTTTTATTGTGAGAATTATGCAGGGTTGGGTTTTTGATATGACACATCAAAAAATGTTTGAAAAGTTTCATAAGCTCTAGTAATCTTTGAAAAAGTGTCAAAATCCTATGGCAAGCTTCTTTTCTGCCAATGAGGAAATTTTATTTGAAAATTGGCATCAAACTATACTGTTTAAACCATGCACAATATTTGCATTATAATTAGTGCTATAATTATGCTTTTTCAGGGGGAAAAAAACAGTACTCTTAGTGCTTTAAGATTATTATTTAACATTTTACAAAGTGTCCTTCTTTGAAGGACGGAAACCTTTATTAATCAATATTGGGAGGCAAGAGAGATGTTGCAGTTGACATTCTGAGACTGATTTTCTTTTATTTTTAATGTTTTATTGTTCTTGTTTTTATGTATGGAGGAATGGAATGAAATAATTGTTATAAAGTTAATTCCTGTTTTATATTTTGGTAATTTTTTTTGCACGGATCCAATCGAATGCATCTTGGGTGCGTGAAGGACAAGTGTTTTTGTTTAAATAAGTTAGTCTGATGATTGCAAAGTGACAGCAAAAGTTATAAAGAGAGCGATTTTCCAAATAACCAATAATATAAACTTTCTTTTATTGTTTTTATTAACAATATGTTGGATTTTAACATAGTTCTGTGTTTTAATTTATGATCTGTGTTTATATTAAAATAAACTTAAATAAATTATCTGTAATTTCCTAATAATATTTTTTTAATGTACAGTAGTTAGCTAATAAAGTGTTTTATTATCATTTTTTTTTATTTACCACTAACTTTCTTTTGTGTTTTATATAGATATATGAATTTTGTGTGTTGGAAACAAAACCTGGAAAAGCTGTTTCCATTATAGAATGTGATATGAACGTAAGTTTTAAGTTTTTATTCATCTCACCTACTAAAACTATTGAAATTTTGATAGTTTTCTCTAGAGTCTTTTGATTTAAAAAAAATTTCTTAATTTTTTCTATTTCATAAAATTGTACAGAATGTGATATTTTCCTCGAAAATAAAATACTGAAAATTCTAAATTACTAACGATTTTAATGTACAGAGTGGAAAAAACGAACCATCATGAATAACTTTTACTCTAATAATCGAATTTTCATATTTTGGGATTCAATGGTTTGAGGGGGTGACCACAAGCATGCTAATTAGTTAGTGCAAACAATATTTTAAGTTACAAAATCTGACACTAAAACGTACTTTCTCTGGGTAAACCGAGCTTTTTTATGGATTTGGATATTTGGATATGGATTCTTAAAATATAAGGAGTAGTCACAATCTTTAAAATATAGTACCAATACTTAACTTTATTTTTTGTGTATTTCACCATATCTTGATAACTTTTTAAACGAATTGAAACATTTTTGTACACAATTATAAAGTTGTTTATCCAAAGATAATTCATTCAAAAAATAATTTTTATGATCTAATGCGGTTTTACACGCATGGAATCATTATATTAATTATCTATTTGCTTATAGGTAGAGTTTGCTCCTCCTGTGGGATATGTTGAACCTGAATCAAAAATGCAGACACAAGAAGATGAAAATGTAAGCTTTTATTTTACTTATTTTAAAAGCAATTTTTTACATATTTCTTTTGCTATATCTTACTATTAAATGTTAGTAAGTTTTTATTTTTAATATATAATTTATGTCTATTTATATTACTATTTTAATTTCTTTTAGCTTTACTCAACTGACATATCAGTTGGGTTAAATTTTTGATAGTTTAACAAAATAAAATAAAGCGAGTCATAAAGCCATGATCATTTCTTTGCCTGATTTTTATCATAAACTTAATGTTAATCTTCAGATCGGCTGTTTTGAATGTTTAATCTTCAGATCAGCTCTTAGTAAGAAATTATTCCAATTAAGATTTTAATAAGAAATTGCTTTAAAAAAGAAATACGAGAAAAATTGTACTTTGAAGTGAATCAATCCAAAATGTACGTATATATATATTTTTCATTTAATTTATATTTTATTCAATTTAATAATTTGCATAGATAGTAATTTTTATTACAGTAAAATTTATAATTTTGAGGACCTATTTCTAAAGTTTCAATAACACCGCTCAGCTTTCTTTTTCCTTTAAAAAAAAAGAAGAAAAAAAAAAAAACTTCTGTGGCATGTTTGTATTGGTTTTTAGTACAATGCATTAAATCATATTGCTCTGAATATATGCTTCTTTAAAATAAAAAAAATGGATGTAAGAACTAATTGTTTTAAAAAATTTAGACATTAATCATGAACAATAAAATGATTGTCTGTTAGGTTATTGCAAAATTCTCAAAGAATAAATAGTGAGGAAAAATTAACATTATATTTTCTAGTGTGTAAGTCAACTTTTTGAGACCCTTAATTATAATGTTAAATTTTAGGACATTCTATAGAGTTTTTTAGTTGTTAATATTGTTTTCTGAAACTTAAATGATTGATTAAAAAGTAAGTTTCTTTCTTTTTTAAAAAAACTTATGTATTAGAATTTATCTGATATCACATTGTCCCTTATGATTTTTCCACAAGCATAAATTAAATTATTGATTTAAGCATTAAATCCATCGAAATCTTTCATTTTGAATTTAAAAGTAGGGTTTTATCATGAAGATAGGGGTTAAATATGATAGTTAATGTTCACTTAGTTACACTTCTGAAAATTTTTGTTATTATAAACAAATTAACTAGCAAAGATAAAATAAAATTTCCATACCTATGAAGATAGATTATACTTTGTACTTTATATGAGTACAGCTATACAAAGTAAATAAAACACAAATAATACTACAAAACAGATGTTATACCGTTTTAGTTCTTCTGGTGGCTAATAAAAGCATAAGCCCCCGGCTAGACTGTATTTCCAGCTTTTTCTGAGTATCTTATTTTTTTAATAAGAATTTATGCTAAATTAAAGACCTTGAGAGTAAAAAGGGATACCTCACATTTTGTGGTTTAAAGCAGATTCCCACTACAGAAATCAGAATAAAAGGGAACCTGCGTTGCCATCTCTGAAACAGAGACTCATACTATTTTATTTGAATAAAAACTTTAATTTTAGATTCACATAATTACAGTGGGGAAATAAAATTAGGTGGGTTATCCCTAATGTCTTCAATGATATCAAAGATTTTTAATTATTCTATGAATAAATGTCAATTTGAAATATGTTTCATTTGTAAACTACAAAATTTTCATGTTCTGTGCATAATTTAATATTAAAAACATTTTTTTCTCCCAGCAGCCTCCTTTACAAGATCCAAATATTCCTTTACCCGATGGATCCTTTTTTGTAAGCTTAATTTTTTTAATCTCTTTTGTACCTAAGCTTTTCGTAATCATATTTTTTATGCATCTTATAGTGAGTCAAAATTTATTGAAACCTTATACTCTAAGACTAAATCTTTTTTTCCCCCATATGGATTGTGGATAAAAAAACTTTTCCTTATGAAGAAGTTTTTGTGTAAACTTATTTATTTATTTCAAAAACCAATTAGTTATTAACTTTAATTTATCTGTTGAATTTTAATTAAATGCTAATATAATCAAACATTATATTTTATTATGTTATAGCGTGAATGAATTCAAGTGTTCTCCCTAAGCGTTTTTAGAAGTGCAGCTCGCTCTATCTGCCCTTTGATCCTTATAAATGCCCCCGCTTTGCTCTTCTTGAAAAATAAGCCTCCATCCCTTAAAAACATTGTCTTATTTATTCATATTCCATTTTTAAGAAAAAATAATTTTAAAATAATAATTACACACAAAAATTATTTGTGTTTATAGGTTTAATTCTGATAACTATTGCAATTAATTACTCTCAACTAAATTTTTATAAGTTTCTCTTTTTCAAGGAGGTATATTAATAAATTTTTGATTTGAAATTCATTTTTTTTAAAATCAGTAACTTTTTTTAAAAAAAAACATGCATCTTTAAATGTTCATTTTCTAAATATTTTTAGTGTAAATTATAGAAAAAATCTTTTAAGCAGTTAATCAAAAAAAAAAAAAAATTTTTTTAAACTTTTTCTTGAGAAAAGAAAATATATGCAGAGATTGTCTCTTAGCATGCCTTTAGTTACTATATGTAAACTAAAATTTTTTTTCTTAATTAGATAGTGAGTCAAAATTACTTTTTGAAACATACAATAATAAGATGGTAACTAATATTATAAGATGGTAACTTAACAAAATGTTGAGGATAAAATTCAGTTATTACATGATATTACACATTTTGATAATTATTCGCATTATTAAGTGAGTGCCCTTTCAAAACTCTGTGCCCTTTTTTGTGAAAAAGGGCACAGAGTTTTGAAAGGGCCCTTTTTTATTCTTAGAAAAAGGGCCCTTTTTTATTCTTAGGGACAACTCTGGTGAATTACTTAACTTGTTTTGACACCCAAAAACATTAACAAGATGATAAAAATTTTTGAATAATAGAAACCTCACATTATTTCTTTACCAATTTGAATGTTTTTTAAACTATTAATTTTGATGGGTAAGAGAGAAAATTTCCCCCCTGGGAATTTCTATATATTTTTTCGATCAGACTTTTTGTATATCTGAAATTGTTAAGTTTATTTATCGTAGATATTTTTAATTCTTAATCTATACTGTCAAATTCAATACCAGATTTCAGGATATTATTTTTATAATAAACTATAATTATTTTTATAATTCTATACTATTTAATAAACTGTAAATTAATTCTTTGCTTTTGACCATGTAAAAGGCATTTCAAGGTAAAGGTGTGAGGCTGGATGGTAAACAAAAGAAAGGATCTGATTTGCCAGATAAAATACTTAATATCCCTCCCCCTAGAAGGTATGTTCATTTTTCTGTTCTTTTTTTTTTACCCTTAATGTTTATAGCTAATTTATTAATATATTTTTATATTTAGTTCATGATTTACTAAAATAATTAATTCAAATGAGAAATAGATATACTTTGTGCTATAAATGAATAATGTTAAACAATGCGTGTAAAGCACTAATAATGCATCAATAAGAGACATAGTGAGTTTCAGTTCTACGATCAAAGACCTTTTTCAACGACAAAATACAGAAATTTTGTTTGCGATTCAGTGTCTTAATACTGAAGAAGGTGCTTAATTATAGAACTAAAACTATAGTATGCTTGTTTTTGTTACCTTATTTGTGCTTCAGTCAGGTTATCACATTGTTTGCCATAAATCAACTAGTTAATTATTTATTTTAGTTACCTGATTGTTCATTACCTCTAGTTTTTGCCTAACTACAGTCAAATTTCGATCCATCATTCCCGCATCTTTTGTTTTCCTGTGTGTATTGTCTTGTTTTGAGGGCTTTGTCACAAATACTCTTCTTATAATATCAATAAGATCTTTTTGAAACTAGCAGACTCTAGCATTTATCATTCAGAAGTACTACTTTAACTTGAAATACAAATATTGAAATTGTTTCCATTTTGAACAGTAACTCCTGATGCTAATGATGAAGGGGAGGGTGAAGATTCGTTATAGTTGACCTAAAACAGCAAGATTGATCTTTATGCTTGTGGTTCTGCAGGTGATATCAGATATGCTTTGTCGATGAAGACAATAGAATAGAACCATAACCATTGCCAACATTTACTAAAGGGCTTAAAAACTTTATTGATTGCGTTCAGAAGAAAGGATTGGGTTGAAACCAAAGTTTTGAAATAATTGTTTACTCATCTTTCATCATAAATATATATACATTTAACTACATATCCGCGCACCTGGAAAGTCATGAGTTTTAGTTTTGTACAAAATTTGTCATGAAATGTCATGATTTTTAGTATTTTTTTTTTAAGTCATGGATTTGGTTTGCTAAAAAATCTAATTTTTAAAATGAAATTTACCGCTCACCCACAATTTCTCGGTGTTCTGAATATCTGAACTTGTAACAAAAAACTCACTCACAGTCACATTTTATTAAAATATATAAAGGTTTTAAATTATGGTGTTCTTTCAAAAAATCAAAGAAAGAACATCATTTCTAGAGTGAATTATCTTTTAAACTTCTGTGATTTCAGAATTTATTTATTATTTATTTTATCAATTTAAAATTCTAGCTGAAGCAAGCCAGTCATTGGCGAATTTTTTTTAATTCCGAAATGAGAACAGAAAAATCACTATTATTTCTTTTCTTTCGCATGAACAAGAAAAGTATCTTTAGAATCCTTTTGTATTATTAGAATATAATTCTACAGGGGAAAAAAATAATTGCTTTTCATCTATTCTGTTGTTTTAACTCTTTCTTTACTCTATTTTTTAAATTGAAAATCTATAAATATGAAGATGCAGAGTATAACAGTTTTGGTTATACCTATCATTTCAATTAATGTAACTGTTTTTTTAAAATTATCGTTGTGTTTTTGTCTGAGAAAATAGTAACTTCGTTAAGTCTTAAAAAATTCTTGGAATTAGTCATGGATTTGAAAATGTAGCTGATACCCTGTACATATTTTTTTTTAAGTGTTTTATACTCGTAGTAAATTTATTAATTTTCTGGCTCATTACTTCTTTATTACTTTATCATGCATTTTCAAGTCATTATATGATATTTTATGTTGACCTGCAATCACTGATATCCCGTAACTAGCATTCACAATGAATTGTCCCTTGAGAAATAATCGATAGATGGTCTGCAGCATGACAATGATAATCATTTCAATATTTTATTTTTAGAGGAATTCCTGATTACGATTATGAAATTGGCACTTTAAGATTTATTAGAACTATAAGACCAGAGGATATAAATAATGTAAGTACATTGTTAATGTGTGTTTGAGTATTTTTCGTTCTAGAATTAAGATATTTCACATTATTTCAATTAATAAAATTAATTTATTCTTGTTTCTTCTTCAAAAAAGAATGTAACTAATAGTTACTAATTTTATTTATTTATTGAAACTCGAAATAATTTTTTAAAATTAATACATAACAAGAAAAAAGAATCAACTTATTCTTAAATATCTCTTTTAATAATCTAATCTACTCTTATTTAGAGAGAACCTTGGTAGCAAACTATAAGGGATATCTAAAAAACGTTTTCACTAACCTTATATATTTTAAATGTAAAGTTGGATTTAAAAATAGAAGAATGAGACATCTTGGATTTCTGTGATGTTACAAAAGTATTAACACACTAAATTTTATTTGAGCTTGTTATTTTGTTTGCTGTTCATGTTTTTGGTTTGATTTTTTAATCCTGTTGTATTTTTCTTTGAATTCGGTTTTTAATTTTATAAAATATGCTCTTTTAGGATAAAACTCCTGAAGACAATTTTGAAGCTTTCACTGGAAAGGGATTTACTTTACGGAAAGGAAAAATTAGAGATTGAATTCGGAAGCAGCACCCAGAAAATTACTTCTGTAATATACTTGTATTTATAAACCCTTATTAAATTAACTCCATTTTGTATATGTCTTGTTTTTAAGATTAAATTCTTTTTTTACTTAATTCTAAATTTATTGTATTTATGAATATTAAAACAGAGAGTAACTGCTGAAACTAGAGTTTTCAAATCTATGATTTTCACTGACTTTTGCAAACAATTTTCCTAGATTTATATCTGTTATTTATTTTTGTGCAGTTTATTAATTTTTGATGATAAGGGGGGAAAGGGATTCCAGAATCAATAAAAATATGTTTATGTAATTCTAAACAACCACTGATATTATATTTATGGCATTTAGAAGTAATATTAAAAATTGGCAGAAGGCAATTTCTTCAATAGTGCATATTCATTCCAACATGAGCTGCTAAATATTGACCAGATTGAGATTTGAATGTAATGTAACATGGTTTATACAGTGTATCAATTAAAATCATGCTAAAACCCCTGTATATTATATATCACCCTGTATTTCAAATTACCTCAAATGTGAGGAAAATGTAATTTTTTAAATATAATTACTTTTCTTATAACAACTTGCAAGGGTGATTGTGAGCCCAACTCAAAAATCCTGAAAATTTCCTGAATGAATTTTTAAACTTATATCTAGTTAATTATGTGAATTTATATTGTATTCAGTTTATCAAATATTTTGATTGAAGATAAAATTATCAAANTGAATCAAAAAAAAAAAAAAAAAAAAACATGGCAAATTTTTTAAAGCTTTGTATTCTTAGTTATTTTTGATATTTTATTTTTAATAACTTTTTTCTCAAAATTTATATTTATAATAAATTATATTTATATAAAATAATTTTTAGCTTTTATCTTAATAAACTCTAAGCAGAATACTAAAAAGCTATCAACATGTGGGAGAGAAACTTATCTTAGATATTTATATTTGAAGACTTACAAGCATAATCTTTTTAAAATAATCACCTTATAAATGAAAATTTATAAGGTAAAATATAATTTACTTTAGATTTTTATGATTAATCTCGATTTTGAATCTTGACCAATTATTAATTTTAATTTATTGTTGCTTTCTGGTTTTTAGAATCGAAATAAATTTATTTACCTCAAACTTAAAAAAATTATCTCTATGTAATTTCCTTTTTATTTTATTCCTGATATTTTTAAAAGAAGGAAAAAAAAACATTGTTCTGCTTTTAAAGGAGTACTTGAATTAGTAAATAGTCTAATCTAGATAAGCTTTAAATTATTGTATTGTACAGTTGTATCATTAGATGAGTTTCTTTTTTTAATTTATTAGATTAATTATTCAAAACACTAGCACATGGATGAAAATAGCATCTTAATTATTTCTCTGATGAAACTATTTTGGCTACTATTTCTTATATGTAAAACTAGAAAAGCTACTGTTTCAAAGAAAGTAGTGAAAACCCTATTTTAAAGACTTTTCGAATCATTTGATTTTTTAAGATTTAGATATTTCAAACCAAGTTATAATTAAGAGATGTGATACAATATGTGAAATGAGACTGTTAACATTAATTTATCGAATTACCCTGTTTTTCAAGTCTCTGATGATTTTTTTTTAAACAAGTTGTATATTTAAAATTAAATTTAGTTTTTTTTTTTACCCCCTTTATATTTTTTAAAATGATGTAAAAAACTGCATACCTTACAATTCAAATTTCTTTTTGACTAAAAAAACAGTAAATATTTACTAAACATTTTTTTTGTATGGAATTATCTTTGGCTAAATGAATTTAACAATTGTGTGCTTAAAAAGTTCTCAAGATATGGAAAAATACACAAAAACTAAAATTAACATTAAGGGGTCCTAACTTTAGATCACTCTCCTGACCAAATTATGAGGACCATCTGTCCCGGATGGTTCTCATAATTTGGAGTAATTTAATTTCATGCTCAGAAATTAGGAGCTGTTGAAGAAAAAAGGTATATTTGTTCAGAGAAAGTACCTTTTTGCGTCTGAGTTTGTAACTAAAAATATCGCCTGTACTAATTAATTAGCAAATTTGAGGTCACCCCCTACAGGGTTCCCACGGTACTTGAATTTTTTTGAAAAAAATCAGGGCCCCCGAAAAGTCCTTGAATTTTGCCATAGGGTACTTGAAAAGTACTTGATTTTCTAGGAATTAAATCAGTACTAATCTTTCTTACAAAAAAGCAGTAAAAAAATAATAAATTCAAAGGAAAATTATAGAAATTCTGATAGATACAATTTTTAATGCTTGAAGTCAAAAGGGGTTAAAGAAGATGCAAAACTTTTCTCTCCTAAATTTTTCACACCAGATTATTGTTCATCTCTCTGATGTTTTGAAGGCTGAAATTTCTAGCAAATGTAAGGTTTTGTTGTCATAGTTTTCGAATAATATATAGTGTTTAATCGATTTAGAAATATGTTCAATGTGTTAACTTCATTATTACGACAGGTTAATATTGTTCTCCTATTTGTTCTTTTAATTTACGTATTTAGTTCTACAGGTTTCATTGATTATGAATAAGCATTGTGATTCACATTAAACTGATTCTTGATTCACGGATCTGAATTTATATAAAATGTTCTACGAATTGTGATTTGAATGAAAGTGATTAATGAATCACCTATCTAATATTACTTTAAAGTGACAGTATTCACACATCATGATTTCAATTATAGTTATTTTTTAATCATGTAACGTAATATGTATTTAAGTAATTTCAGAATCATGCCTCACAATTCTTCTAGTAGTTTACAAATCACGCATTGCGATTCACAAAAGAGAGATGCAAGAATTACCACTCGCAATTCTCATCAAAATGATTTAAGAATCACACATAGCTGTTCTATATTAAGCACCTTTTGAATCACAAATTGCAGTTTTCTTCATAATGTTTACGATTCACATGAAAACTATTAGCGAATCATGCAACAGAATTCATATTGAAGTGATTTATGTATCACTTCAATATGAATTCTGTTGAGATTTATGTCTTGTTAGTTTGTGCGTTTTGTATCATTTGCTATTCATATTGTTTCGATTTAAGAAACATACACCGCAATTCAATTTCAATTTACAAATCACGCATTGTGATACGTGATTTACATAATCTTTGAGGCTTGACCTTTCTCATAATTTTGATTTACATATAGTATATCTAAATTCATATAAATGTGATTTAAAAATTCCGCTTAGTGAAAAGTACACATATTCACAAAATTTTAAAAATCACGCTTCACATTTTATGGATATATTTTAAAGAAAATAAAGTTTGGTAAGTCTTAGTTTTATGTAAAATATTAATCTACAATAGATTTTGTTATGTTCAAAATACATTACTGATATTTTGAAGAAACAAAGTAGATAATTTGTTATTAAAATTTAAACTTATGTTAAATGCATATATATTTTGATATTTTATCCAATTATATACATTTCCTGTAACCTAAAATTTGATCTAACATATTATAAAAAAGGATTTATATTTTAATGACTGTGCAATTACACAAACTTTATCAATTATTTGCTGAGCTTGTTTAGTGTAATATGCATTATTCATTCACCCAATTTCATTAAATCTAATTCACTTCATTAAATTTTTCAAGAAAAATTTCACTGATGCTAGTTTTTTAATGTTGGCTAGTCAATTAGTTTCTTTTTTTTTTGTCAATTGGAATTTTTCAAAGTGATTTGAAATAGCAATGTAACTATCAACCATTTGTATTATTAAATGATAAATTTACTAAAAAAGTTTTTGTTGTCAAATAAGCAAATTTAGCATATAATTTTAATACCGAATAGGTCCTTCAAAATGTTTATTTTAGGTCCTTGAAAGTCATTGAAAAGTCCTTGAATTTTTTCTTAAAAATTGAGTGGGAACCCTGCCCTAGAACCTTCGAGATTGAGTCCTAGAATGCAAATATCTGATCATTAGATCAAAAGATATTTAGGGTGGTCATTTTTTTTTTTTTGTTTTCTGGTGCATTGTGCATAGGATGAGGGTTACAAATTATAACCTCATTTATTTTCGTTTGGAAATAAAAGTTTAAGTCCTTTTTTTTAAATCAAGATAAAGGGAGTAAAAGTTGAGAATAATTAACATGAATTAGTGATACAAACGTCCTAAAAAATAAGTTATGGGTCGTCAGATTATGACGAATTAACTATATATTAAGATGCGGGTCAATTTAAATTTAATTAAGAAAAACTTTCAAGTTTACCATAAAAATTAAAATTTTATAAATTATTAGAATTAGTCAAATTTAACTTTGTCAGCACTACAGCCTATTGCAGGCCAAGGCTTTCTCAATTAGCAGGGCGACTTTGAGCTAGATTTTTCCACCTGTTTATTCCCAACAATTTTTAGCCCTTCTCCACACTGTCCAACCATCTTGTAGCTGAACTCCCTCTTCTTCTACTTCCAATCAAATTTAACACAAACCTTTTATATTTATTTTTGAAATAAGTGTTCAATCATTACATAACAATTCAAAATGTATGTCTTAATTAAGATATAAATATTTCTTAAACATAAATTATAAATGTAAAAAAATATTAAAAGCCAACTTACAAGTACAAAAACTTTAAAAACGGAACATAAATACATTTAAGTCCAAATCAAATTATAAATGCAAAAGCAATAAAATCCAGTATGTATAGATATATACATATACAGCATATTATAACAAATACAATATAAATATTTGTAGCAAATACAATGTTGCAATCTACAATTTATATTTGTATAAAAAATACCTTATTCTATATATTTTTTAAAAGATAAGATTACATATTGTTTGAGCTTTTGTTTGTTAAATTTTTTTCATATGATAACACTGATGTATGTGGTTCATCTAAAAAGTTCAAAGAAGAATAGATATCTCAAAAGAAACACAATGTGGCTATGTAAGCCCATTGGGAGCTGGGTTGACATGATTTAAAAAATGATTCAAATTGAAATCACTTCTTTCAAAAAAAAGGTGAGAGACAAAACATGAGCTTCAATCCTGCACAAACTTTAAATCCTCTCACAGATTTAAAAAATGATTAAAATTTAAATCACTTCTTTTAACCTTCCGTTAGACGCGCGCACCTCACAGGTGCATCCCTACTGCACTTCCACCTCCTTTGCCGTCAATAGATGTTTCTGGGGGTCGAGCCTAATGTTATGTTCCTAACTTTGGATTACTCAAATGTCCGTGTAAAACCGACCTTAGAACATGTCGATGGAGAGTTGGAATCGCTCAAATCACCCCTCTGGTGCAGCGCGACCATTGACGCAAGTATTATGGATATAATATTTTTATGAATTAAATTTATATATTTTATCTCATTTTCTGTCCTACTCAACGTAGCAGGTATAAATGGTTAAGTTATATACACAGAAAATGGTTACGGAGTAAAAAACCGCAGACCCTTCTTGCGTCAACTGGTTGAACATCTTGTGATGGAGCAAGAGATCCGACGCGGGAGCAAGAAAAATTTATCTTCAGTACCTCGCTAAATAAGTTTTTTGATATTTATCTCTCTAAAGAGTCTTAAATTGGTAACCATTAACTATTTAAACTAGACTAAATTTCATTTGGCTTTCAAAAAATCAGAAACACCTCATAGGTGCAACGCGATTAACCATGTCGGAAACAAGTGCGCGACTAACGGAAGGTTAAAAAAAAGGTGAGAGACCAAACAGGAGTTTCAATCCTGCACAAACTTAAAATCCTCTCACGACTGCGTGAAGTCCACCTCCAGTAGATCCCTTATCACTTTGGGGTTCTGGGCAATGATATTGTCGACACTCTGGCTAAGGAAGGGACAGAAGATACTTTGATGAGTCCAAATTCACTCACCTTCATGGAACTGGCATTGAAAAAGACAATGTTTCCTGGCTCGTACCCTACAAACATCACTGGTACCAGAGCACCCGTCCAGGAGATGCACTCAACATTCGGTGCAACCACAAGGATCAGACGGCGCTTACCAGCTGCCACCTTAAGTCTTTTTCTTTCGAGGGTAGTGTTAAAACCTTCACAAACTGCCCCAGGTGCCACAACATGCAGGCTTCTCCCCAACATATCCCGGACTGGACAAGAGGGACTTTCTAGAAAACCCACTTTTGGTGGCTGACTTCCTCCAAGTCATGAATTTCATGGACATTGTTTAGCCCTGCTAATTTTGGGGATTAGGAAGAAGAAGAAAAAAAAAACATAATTGATTTAAATCACATCACCATTTTTTTTCAAAAATATATTATTTATTTAAGTCAAAAATATTTTTGTACAGTATAACTTATAAATACATTCTTATAGTTGTGCTTTTTTTCCAAGTCCGATTTCATTAATATTTAAAGTTTTTTCTAAAGAAATAACAAGGAGGGGACATGTATGTAAATTATTTATTTGATAATATAGATTAATAGAACAAAACACATATAACGATTGTACATGGATAAAAGTTATTTGAAATTTTTTAACTATAACTTTACATGTGCCACGTGAAAACTGATTTATTGATTAATAAAAAAATTTCAATTATACCCATTTAGATTTATGTTTATTTACAAGGCTCGTAAAATGAAGTCGCTAGGTTACCATTGGCAACCAATAAATTTTGGGCGGTGACTATATTTTTAGTGTTTTAATGACAATCTGATATTTTTTTAGATTTTAATATTTATCTAAAAAAAAATCTGTCTCAGAGTTGATCTCAAACGAAATCCCCCTTGTTTTCAACAGTCATCAGAGAAAAAAAACCTTTGTTAAATAGAAGAAAAATACTATTAACATGAAAGAAAATTATTTTCCCTTATCCTTGCTTTGTCATGTACTCCTCAAACTTCTGATTCTCAAACATGATTCAAAATTAATATGTCATAACAGTTTTGTTTTATAAATATCAGGATTTTTTATATTTAGAAATCCATGAATATATATATATATATAT